TGACAGGAGGTGAGTATAAATCCACATCGTGCAGTAAATCGATAGGCAGTAAATGCAGTCTGATCAAATTACGGAAAATGAAGCCCAAGGGTGAGCTAGATGTTATGGACTGAATGTTTATGTCCCTTTAAATTCACATGGTGAATTCCTAATCCCCAAGATGATAATATTGAAGTGGGACCTTTGGGAGTTAATTAGGCTTAGATGAAATCAAGAGTGTTGGGCCCCATGATAGGATTAGTCCCTTATGAGAAAAGAAAGAGCCAGGAGCGGTGGCTCACACGTGTAATCCCAGCACTTTGGGAGGCTGAGGCAGGTGGATCACCTGAGGTCAGAAGTTTGAGACCAGCATGGCCAACATGGTGAAACCCCATCTCCACTAAAAGTACAAAAATTAGCCAGGCATGGTGGTGCACACCAATAATCACAGCCACTCGGGAGGTTGAGGCAGGAGAATCGCTTGAACCCAGGAGCAGAGGTTGCAGTAAGCCAAGATCACGCCACTGCACCCCCGCATGTGTGACAGAGTGAGACTCCATCTCAAAAAAATAAATAAATAAAGAGAGAAAGAAACATCAGAGCAAGCTCACTCTCTACCACGTTACCATATGAGGACACAGCAAGAAGGTGGCCATCTAAAAGCCAGAAACAGAGACCTCACCAGGAACCAAGTCTGGGAGCAGCTTTATCCTAGCCTCCAGAACTGTGGAAAATAAATGTCTATTATTCATGCCACCCTTGTATTTTGTTATAGCATCCCTAGCTAAAAGAGTGGCCATCCCCAGCTAAAATCCACCTTGATTGTCCACGATTTGAGCTGGAATCAAGTGAAATCTCCTAAACGTGACATTTATGAGAATCCTCACCTTAAATGTAAATCCTAAATAAGCTCCAACCCTAAACTCTTTCTGTCCAATCTCCCCTTACAATTATACTAATTTGCTTAGGTTAATCTCCACAGTCTATAAAATGTGTGCATTCAAAGGTACAATAAGAGACTCATGAAACTTGAGAAAGGATGATCCTATGAAGCTAAAATCCATCAACCCAAAATAGGTGACCTCTGCAAATGACCACCCCATGAGATGGTCTGTCACTATAACTGTTGAAACTGAAATCATGCACAAGCCTCCCTCAACACATAAGAACTAATTATAAGGAAGATGAGACAGGACAAGTAGTGGGGAAGAAGAGACAAAATTATTGTTATTTGCAAGTGATAAGACCTGTAAATCCAAAAAATAGTCACTGGAAAATGATCAGGAATGTAGTTCCATAAGAGGAATAGTTACGGAGCTAAATATACAGAAATAGGTAGTTCTCTGAGATAACAGCAAAACCTACTAGAGAATGCTTTGGGAAAAGGTCCTGCTTACAAGGACAACAAAAACTATGAAATACTTAGAAATAGAACAAAAAGAAATGTGCAAAACCTATATGAAGAAAACTATAAAACCAGCAAACGTCATAAAATGCTATGAAAATAATAATATAAAGACGTCAATTCTTCCCCACTGTGCCCCAGTTTATTTATAAATCTAATATAATTCTGCCTGCCCATGGTGTTCTGTTCTTTCCTTGGGTGTCTTCGATGTTTTATTCTTGGATGTCGGTGAGACCTGAATAATTCTCTCTTTTTTTAGCTAGCATGAGTGGGTTTCTATTCACTGCTCCCAAATGACTAACTCAACCCAGGGTACCTCTTCATGTCTCATGGGCTCATACACCTTGAGTCTCAAATCCTCTCCTTCTTCCTACATCTGTCTTCACATGGGCTTTTGCACCTTCTTGCAAAAAAAAAAAAAAAAAGTTTTTAAAGCCTTTTTTGCAGCTTTTACCTGTCACAACACCAGCCTTGCCACAACTTAACAGCTCCTTCACCTCAACTGGCTCAGCTCCCATGATGATTAACTCAGGTTCACTAAAGAAATATTCAGACACGCTGAACCCACCCCTTGAGTCAGGTGCCCACCACTGGTCCAACCGGCTTTAGCCAAGGGAAACTGAGTCCCATGGCTTGAGTTGAGTGAGGTGTTGGGCGTTGGGTGATGATAAGGGAAGCCATAGTTTACTCTTTGCTGCACTGATTTATCAATAATAATAGCTTCCATTTATTAGACACCTACACTGAGCCAAGTCTGGCAGCAACTTTATCCTAGCCTCGAGAACTGTGAAAAATAAATGTCTATTATTCATGCCACCCTTGTATTTTGTTATAGCATCCCTAGCTAAAAAAGTGGCCATCCCCAGCGAAAATCCACCTTGATTGTCCACGATTTGAGCTGGAATAAATAAATAAAATAAATTTTAATAATTAATAAAATAAATTCCTAATATTTTGCCAACCACCTTGCCACAAAGATTTTATCAATGCTTTGCTGTTAAAGAAACTGGCTGCTTGAGGTAGATAACTTCTCTGTAATCACTTGACTGAAATGTAAGTCAAAGATGGATCCAGTCTCAAGTCTCAAATACTTGAGGTCCTGCCTCCTGGCCTCCCCAAGTCCAGAGAGCAGAGTCACATCCCCCAGGCTGAAGTGTACTGATAAATTCAGCCTCTGGGATGCCAAAGCTGGGCACTTCTTTCTCAAGGACTTTGCCCAGACACTTCTCCATCAACCACCGCCCTTATTTACCCAGGAACTCCTGTCATCCTTCTGTGCACTGCCAAGCGAGGCTGTGCCTGGAGAAGACTTGAGTGATTGATTCTCCATGCTCTGCCATGCTGTGCCCCTCCTTCCATTCCAGCAGCTGCTTATCTTTGTCCCTTCCCCACCAGCCTGACAGCACCTTGACAAGGACTGTCCTGTTTTGCAGCCACTGTACCAAGTCCACATCCACAGCAGAAGTTGAGTACACATGGCTGATGGGACATTGAATTAGTGCTGTTCCAAATTGCTGGCACCCTGTAGCACCTCAGGAGTTTCCTTCATTTACTCTAAATAAATACTGCAGCCCATGGTAAGGAAAAGGTGCTCCCAAGCCTGCAGCCGCAATCCCTTGTCCTTCTTCCGGTTTTGTGAGGCCATAGACTCAACATACCCAGTTCCTATGCTGAGAGGGGAACATTTGGAATCTTCCCCATGCTATTAGCTGGAGCTCTAGACCCTCATGAATCTACCTGGGAAGTGAACAGCTAAATTCATCACTATGGCTCAAAGGTAAGCAGTTACACCCCTGTCCTGTGAATGGAACAAGAGAGGCACTTCGCAATCTTTGAGGGACCTCTCCAAATTTCACATCTCTCACCCTACTCTCATCCTTCTTCCCCCAATGGGAAAGAATATTCCCAGTCCCTTGGGGACATAGGGAAGAACCACACCATTGGGATTTTCTGCTCTGCATGAAGAGTCCCCTCTAAAGAGAGCATCCCCATTATAAACCAGATTATCTTCCAGAGGGGTCAGTGTGGCGAAAGCTCCGGCCAGAGTGCAGGGAGCACCTCTACTTCCTTTACGTGAAATATTCAGAAGATGGGGGTCCTTGAATTATGAGATGTGGCAGAATTGATCTGAAATATGTAAATGTTTGTTTTCTTCCTGGTTTACTTTACATTGGTAGCTTAAGGGAACGCCAAAGAAAACTACAGCAAGACCCATCTGATTTCTTTGGCATCCATATCCCCTCTGTCCCAGGAAGCTTTTCCTGGAGCATCTCCTCAGCCTACCGTCCTCTTTTCAGTAGAGACCACAGCATTGGGAGCCCCTCAGAGCCCTCTCTGGTTGTCAGGGTCAAAGTGATCCTATTTAGCTCTCCGACTGGAAATTGATCAGAGTCTATGAGTTTTCCCTGTCCCTAAAAACTGCAGGGAATTGTCTGGCAGGAGAGATATCCTTACACAAGAAAATATGCACATTTTCAGAGGGATTTTTGAGACAGCAAATCACCCAAGCATGCCAGTCTTCCTCGATCTGTGCCCTGGTGACAATAAAAGGAGCCCTGCAGGAGGAACAGTGGCACCTCCACCTGCCGTCATTGCCCTGCCTGCTCCTCACTCCCACTGTCCCCTACATCCACACACCCATGCACACACATGTGCACATGCACACACGGCATCATCCCTCACCCCTTTTCCCATTATTCTTCGTGCTCCACCTTGACCCTTTGTTAAGGAGCTGGCAAAGGAAAGACATGGGATGTCCCACAGTGTACACGAGCAGTCGTGGAGCATCTCAGGAGGCTGAGATGAGACGTGACTTACACATCACAATATCATGTGGAAAAGTTCAAACAAAAGCCACAAGTGCCTCCCAAGGTGGGTACCCACTCAACCAACTGGCTCATGATTCAGTGGCAAGGTCCTCTCCATGTGATGGACCTCTCCCCACTGCCTATGAAACCACTTTGGGATTTGCAGAACAGTTTCCCTGCAAGGTTTGCAGGGAAATGATGGAGTAGAATAGAAGCCTGATAGCTTCTCTAAATTGCAGGTTGTAATCAATAACCCTAACAGGTGACAAATCACAGCATAGAGGACGTTGGGGAGTCTGGAGCCACACAAGTGCAGAGCACGGCAGGTAAGCCACAGAACGGCCTGTGACAGCCAGCGTGTCCCCTTTGGAGATCTGAAATGGGTCTGCTGAGTAAATCTGGGGACTCTCCAAGCACAGATGCATCACTTTCTCCCTTTTCGTTCTCAAATTCACACAGTGACAGGATATAGAGCCAGGGGGATCAAAGGCTTGAGTACTCTGTGCTGTGTACCTGGATCACTCATAATTCCCAGGGAAAATTCTGAGTCTTTGACACCCCAGGATGCAGGGCTCTATTCCCATGGTAAGAAGAAAATATATTGCCATCGCCAGCCAGCAGTTAAATCTCTCCAAATTAGAGTCTCCAGGCATGGCTCAAAATGGATCTCTCACTCTCAGCAAAAAAATGCTCCTAACAGAAGACAACGTGTTACATCTCTGACTCCTAAGAGAAGAAGGAAACAGACACCTGGCTCCCAGTCACTTCTAACGTCGGGTAAAATATAGAAAGAAAGGCAGACACTTGAATTCACTCATCTTAACTTCATTTTATTACAACATCAAGGAAAATAGTTGCAGGAGGAATGAAAATGGAGAGGAACATAGAGATTAGGCTACTCACAATTCCATTGTCTATACCTTCCTACAAGGGTATAAATATCACAGGTTTCTGTACATGCATTGGAGGTTTGCTGTGCGTGTGTGGATTGTGTGTGGATGACTTCTCTCTAGGGTGTTGTTCTTTTAATTTCTTGACAGATGATGGTTGAGTTTGGTGTTGTCAGGTGGACTAGGAGGGGGCTCTCCCGCTAGGACTGAGACCCAGCCTTTTTCTTCTGGAATTTTCTGAACTGAGACTGAATGGCCACCGCTGCACGTTCTGTCTCTGGTGCATCCATGTCAATGTCAAATTCCTCTTGAACTTTCTTCTGTCCATCTGTGGTAAGAAAAACACAAACAGAAGGCAATCACTGAGCTGAAAATAGGAAAGCAGTGATTTAGTGAAAACAGTTCAGTGAAGCCAGGCAGTCCACCTTGGGGCACACGCGGGGGCTTGACTTACGCCCCAGGACAAGAGCTTATTTGCAAAGTAAAATCCAGTGGAGTGTTGAAACTCAAGGACACAGTCTCACCACTTCATGTATTTTCTGCAGGTGATTTTCGTTCTCAATGGCCACCTTGATATATGGTTTTAATATTGGCTGTGCTGTGACTTTCTCCTGCTATCCCACATAGGTACCATTTGAATATTGCTAAGATATCGGTCCAATGGTAGCTAATATTCACAACAACTGAGTTAGCAAAGTCGTACATTGAGTTTCTGTGAGTAATTCTGTGCATCATTCTCAGGTAAGATTTGCTTATTGCAATCAGGGCTTCCTTTTTAACATCGTCAAGACATGATGACACCATTTGACCTTCGCAGTTTGGCTGAACTTTCACAAAGCTTATGTCCTTGTTCCTCTGAGGCAGGCCTGGCAATTGGCTTGCTAAGGTGGAAGGATTTCACCAATTCACACGCTGACGGGATATAAAGTAGGGGAAGCAAAGGCTTGGGCCCTCTACACTGTGTACCTTACTACAGCCCAGGGCCAGTGCAACCAAGAAGGGAAAACAAATAAATCAATAAAATTATTCAGTCGTGGGAGGTAAACGTCTTTCAAAAGCCTCTATCTGATGAGACCCGGCATGTTCAGGGTGTATGGCCGTAGTGTGTATAGCTTACACTGCTTGGGTGATGGGTGTGTCAAAATCTTACAAATCACCATGGAAGAATGTACTCATGTAACCAAACACCACTATCCCCAAAAAAACCTATGGAAATATAAAACTAAAATAAAATAACGAAAGCCTCTGGTCTGTTGAGACCCGGTACGTGCAGGGTGGTGTGGCTGTAGAGTGTATAGGGTATACTGCTCAGGTAATGGGTGCATGAGAATATTACAAATCACCACTGAAGAACTTACTCATGTAACCAAACACCACCTGCTCCACAGAAACCTGTGGAAATAAAAAACTAAAATAAAATAACAAAAGCCTCTAGTCTGATGAAGGCTAAACATCAGGTTCATCAAAGCCATCTTTTTTCTTTTTCTTTCTTTTTTTTTAATACAGACATGGGGGCCCCACTTCAGACTCAGGGTTTCGACCTTGCACAGCCGCAGTGGGAAGGGTGCTCCTGAGAGCAAGATTGGTGTTGAGAAATCCGTGTCCCTGGGGGGTGGCCAGACATCTACACTTTTAAAAAAGGCTCTGGCGTGGCCAGAATTGAGATCCAAGGACAAAGGAGGCCTTGGAGTTAGCTCAAGCCAGAACTGGGGACAGAACTCACCTCTCCTGGGACCTGGGCCAAGAGCCTCACTGCCACCCTGGGCTTGCACCTAGAGCAGGGGAGGCTGGCCCTGTGAGGGGCACAGCCAGCCTGGAGGTGGGAGAACTGGGGGCATTCTGAGGCAGAGGAAAAGCCCTAGTCAGGGAGCAGAGTGCAGGCTCTATTCCTGACTGTCACCAGGCAGCCTGATTTCATCTACTACCTGTTCAGGTGTTTTGCATAATAATCCTCAGGCACCAGCTCTATCAGAGAGGGTGGAGGAAGCTGGGGTTCCTTGAGGACTTAAGGTAAGGCCTGCCTGTTCTCTCCTGTTTGCTCTAGATAAAAAGATGATAGATAGATAGATAGATAGATAGATAGATAGATAGATAGATAGATAGTCAATAGATATAGAAGATAGATGATTGATAGATAAAGATAGAGATGGATAGACGTAGATAGATAATAGATAGATACATACATAATACATATATACATACATATGTAGATGATAGATAGGTACAGGCAGACAGGTAACAGATAGATGAGAATCAGCACTTATTTCAGATGTATCTGGTTGGGTGACATTTCCTCTGTAGATCCATAAGCAGCCTCCTCTCAGTTTTCCTAGAGCCTAAGCAGCTTCCACCTGGAGCCCTTCAATCTCACCCTCACCTAGAAGGAGGGAATGTCAGCTCCGGCTTTGCAAGCCTTGTAGGACTGAAGGAGCCATGACCCAAATCAGAACTGTTTTCTTTTCTTCTGTTTCAAACTTGCTGCCCATGCTCATGAAAAAAGAGATTTTGAGTGTGCCAATGTTCAGGAATACTTCAGAGGCAGCGGAAGGGGCTGCTTCCTTTTTAATCCATGACAGCCCAGATGATACGGAGGGCACGTGGAACTCTTCCTCACACTCCAGGGAGCTATTCACATTTCCTTTTTTTTTTTTTTTTTTTTTTTTT